AAGGTCATGGCGTCGTAGCCGTGGGCGGCGCAGGCTACAGACGACCTTAGTTGCCGAGCAGCATGCGTCATAGTTGCACCATCGTCGAGCTCGGGGATCTTGAGCGCGCCGGGCGTGAGCTTGAGGTCGGATGTGACTTGGTCCTTGAGCTGCTTGAGCGTCGACGTGGCGGCCGCGAGCACGCGGTGGCGGAACCCGTCGGGCTCGAGCACCAAGATGAGCTGGAACTCCGTGTCGAGGGGCGACTCTTCCGCGGCCTCGACGCGCGCATCGGCTTCCGGCGGGTTGCCCATGCGTTTTGCCTCTGAAACGACTACCGACTCTAGTTAGTTTATAGTAGAAAAGCCGCCACAGTCGAGTCGAAAACGCCACACTCTTATATTTCTAAAGCCATTTTTCACTACCGGTACAATTACATTGCCCAACTTTCTAGTCGAAGGTCAGGGCTTGCCGTAGTACGTCGTATTGAGGTACACCATCTTCTGAAACTCGGCCGGGCAGTACGGGAAGAGGATCGTCGGGTCGGCAATGGTCGGCGCGAAGAGCTTCTTGCCCGTGCTGATCGAGACGTAGATCGCAAGCGCCGACGTGAAGAGGATGATAAAGATGCTCCAGCCCTTCTCGAGGAGACCCATGTCCTTGTAAAAGACCTTGAGGTGGAACCAGACGGGGAGGATCATGCAGCCGAGCGCGGCCGACGACGCGCCGACAAAGTCGAGCAGATCTAAAAAGTGGTTTTGCCAGATGATCGCGACGATCGTGCTGATCGTGATCTGGACAATGCGCATCGTGCACGCCTTGAGGTAGTCGGCCGATGACGCGTACACGGCGACGGGCGCGTCGACCTTGGCAACGACGGCGTCCTTGGGCGTCTCGGTCTGTTGAAACGCCGGCGACTCGCCCGTCTCGAGCGCAAAGCCCTGCTTGTGGAAGCCGAAGAGCACGCGCTCAAAAATGTAGAACGTCGGGAAGAGGTCGATTGCGAAGGCGACGCTGATGTGCAAATGCATCATGAGGAAGGCAATCACGACCGCGCCGCGGGGGGCCGTGAACCCGAGCTTCGTACCCGCAATCGAGAAGAGGAGGTTGCCGGGGATCTGGCACCCGACGTTGTGGTCGCCGATGAGCGACACCATAAAGAAGAGCAATGTGCACACACCGAGCGTGAAGAGAATAACACGCGGCATGCGCTCGGGCTGCGTGTGTTCGCGCTGGAGGGCCGGAATGAGGACGCCGGCGGCATATCCAAGCGAGAGGTTGCCAAAGACCGACGTGACGCCATCAAACGAGGGCGATGGCGTCGGCGCGGAGAGACCTTCGGGAATGTCCGACATGTTGTCGAGGAGGACGTAGAGGGCGACAGCATCCGCGATGAGCGTGCCGAGCGCACCGGCCGTCGCCGTCCCCGCACTCTCCTTGAGCGACGGCATCATGCAGATCGGAAGGAGGCTGAGCGCCATGAGGATGATCCAGACGGTCGCCGTGAACGTGTTGGGGAAGAGCACGTCGAGGAGCGACCCGCCGAGGACGAGGAAAGCAATCGGGTCCAAGCAGCAGACGAGGAGCTGCGAGAGCGTCGTGATGAAGCGGCCAAAGCCGCCATAGACCCACTCGCCAATGTCACCGTACGTCTTGACGTATTTGGGCGCGGCCAGCATGACCTTGGAGAGAGCAACGGTCGCGTAGAGGTTGATGGCTGCCATGAGCACGAGTGCACCGGTGGCCCAGTAGTAGCCGGCGCGCGCATAGTTGGCCGGCATCCCGAGGGTCCCGACGCCGTAGACGACGCAAAACAAGTTGAACGAGATCTTGATATCTTCGAGGGTCAAGAACGCCATGGCTCGCGGTGGGCAGACAGGCGAAAATCGAAAAGTGAAACTGGAGCGCTCGGTCGCGTGACGTGGTTGTGGTCGTCCTCAGGAACGTGTAGCACGATCCTTGCCTCTGTGACCGTGCACCATTTCGGTACAATCGTGGTTGAAATCGGAACGTGTCACGAAAGCGCCCGTCAGCAGGTGACATGAAAAATACGCTACGCTCATTGGTCTGCTTCCTTCCCGCGTGCTCGAACCTAGTTGACTTATCCCCAAAGTGAGATATTTCGGACGTTTCATGTCCACAGAAAAACAGATGTTTACCGATTGCGCGGGGCAATTTCCATGATACGCCACGTCTATGGAAAAGATTCTAGGGCCTTAACCCTATTAGAGGTCTCGCACTATCACGGAAGACTTGCCGCTCACCTTGCAAACACATGTTGGGTACGAGTGGCTGTGGGGCTGCTGCGCACATACTACTGCCCTTTCGCCTGAGATTTCTTGACAAAATCGCCGAAACGGGTAGGTTGGTGGGTGGCCCCTTGTCGTGCGCAAGCGCGGCGTCAACGTCAAGGTTTAGCCACCCACAACCCAGTGGTTGTCGATCGTTTACACACTGCGCCCAAATTACTCAAACTCTAGCGAGACGGCCCCACGGCATTCAAGTACCGTGGCTCCTGGTACTACATCTGATCAGAACTGAGAGGAAAAGAGGAGCTGATCAGAACTGAGGGGAACAGAGAAACTGATCACAATGGACCATCTACGTTTCTCAAGGATTCCTGTCGTAAAAACAGGAAGTCGCATGATAGACGACGCGCGTTCATGATCGGCGCCACCAAGCCCAGTACGCTTGCATCAGTACAAAGGGTTTAGTAACGGTACGTTATACCATTCCGCCAAGAGTCTTGTAGCCGAGAAAAATGTACGAAATGTGCTTTTCATGTGTCGTCGTTTGGTGCCCGACCTAGCCTAGGTGAACGCAAGACACTTCAAATCGAATTCGTCGAAGCCGTGGTACAAACGCGGCGTATGAGCTCCATCGTTTCCAGGAGACGGCAGCAGCTGCACGCTTTCATTCCTGCGACCATATTGGCTCGACTTTGTTGGTGGTGCGGGCTCTATTAGTATGACTGCAGCGCTGGAGAAGCAACGTAATAAGTAATCGGCTCAATAGTCGCGAAACATCGCTCAGCTGGATGCGCTCACCTGTCGGTCCGCCACGTCACTCGCGAAAAACCTAGTCCACGATACCATCAAAAAGAGTGCATCCATAGCTGATGTTATACGTACTCAGTGACCGCAGCGAAACCCTAAAGCGTGAGCACGAGTGAATCGATGACACTCGTATACAAATGTTCGCAGTCAATAGAGACTCGCAAGTGTAAGCTTGCAGTACTCACAAGCAACTTCTACCACATTTCAAAAAGATATCGCTCGTTGTTAGGTTGTTGGACCAGGAGCTGCTGGCTGGCACTAGTACGTACATCAGCATATCGTTTGAACCACAGCGAAGCCGGGACTCGAATTCGACCTTGTAGAAGTTGATGCCTAGCGAGGCATCACCACCTTTGGCTCATCCGCCGTGCGCTAATGGTGGCAATACGAACTCATTCCAGTCCGGTCATAAGTGTACATTCGATACGTCCTTATCTCAATGCAGCCATTGCCAGCTCACGCCCATTTCATATACAGAATGCCAAGCAATGCGAGACCCGCGGGCACAAAGATGCCGAGCAAGTAGAGCTGCGACGTCTCGTCCGGACAACCGCTGCCACCCGCTAGCTTGAGGCAATTGGTCGACTCAAACATGGATGACATCGTCCCCGTGATGGACGTCGCGAGGATGACGAAGAAGGCGTAAAAGATGCCAGCGGCGACGTTCGGGTAGCTTCCGCCGTGCTGCTTGAGCTCTAGGACCGCTTCCTTTTGACTGGGCAGCAAAACGACCCAGAGACAGCCAATGACGGTGGATGAATACGCAATCACATACGTCCATGCGACCTCATCGCGCGTCTCGGGGAGGTCCGTCTTG